TAACCCACTTGTAACCTACTGTACAGCAGAGCGACATCGACGACTTACCCGCCTTTTTCATAATTATTTTAAGTTCAAATTTTATATGAAAATACATATTAGATAACCAAAAATAACAATTTTAGTAATATGGTTGTAATTTAAAAATATTATTTGTGGTTACTTGAACTTTCTGAGTATACTTTGTATTATAGTTTTAATGGTTAATAACTTATATTAATACTTTATAATAAATTGTATATACTATAAATGACTGAGTGAGTACCGTTAATGTATCATAATTAATCTGATTTGATTAATTTGGGATTTATTTTATATGTACATAAATTTTTCTGAAAAGTAGCAATATAATTAATATAGTATTAAACTATAAAATATCCTTGACTGATAAACCATCTCCGCTCAGAATTTTTTTTCATATACAATGATATTATATCATTGAATTCAAATTTAATACAAACCATTACTGCAGTACCTACTTGTAAACTACCTATTTCTCCGTTTTTTTTTTTATTGGTAATCACTATTATTGCAATAACTTTTAGTCCAACAGTGTAATGGTGACATGTCACTGGTACACTAAACTTGTAATCATCATGGATAATGATAAATATGATAAAACTAAATTCAAACATCAATGTACAGATTCTATCAGACTTAGTTACATCAAAAACACTGAATAAAATTTATTTTATCCATATCATAATAAAACATTGTTTATTTTTATATTTATAATATATCCTCAGATAAATTAAATATTTAACATTTTTGAAATATATAAATATTCCAATCCTTAATGCGACCACCGTTTGGAATCTCTGTCCTAGACTGACAAACTATCCCCGCTCAGAATCGTTTTTTGTATTCTGTACAGCAGAGCAACATCCACTTACCAGATTTTTTTTTTTTAATTCCAAACATATTTAAATTAGAAATATATATACTATATTATATATATATATATATAATTAAAATATCAAGTAGATATTGTTCTAAGATAATAATAGATATTCAGAATTAATATTCTTAAATTTAAAGTTTTATTTAAAATACTTAAAAAATTTAAGAGCTTTATTAATAATAAAAAATATTATTTAGTAGTTTTGGTATCATTCACTAACAGAATAACAAATTATTATTTATTATTGATTTAAAAAAAAAATTGACATACCTAGCGGATATTTATACAAAAGGTACTGGGTTTGCACAAATACTAAAAAGACAACTTGTTTGGGCACAAAATTACCACTCCTTTGAGAACAGTTGAGCCGTAACTATAATACACACGGTTAGCGCATAGTTACCTTTTAGACTTTAATAGTTTAATACCTTGCATATTAATATTTGTTTATTAATAAGTAAATTATTAAAGCACTAGCATACATTTTCCTTCCCCCTTAACAGACTTAGGACTGTCTATTAATGTATTCATAGGTGTGGTTAAAAATGCATGTTAATACTTGCTTATTAATAATTGTGAATAAATAATATTTAATACTTGTTCAAGTTAAAAATATATGTTAATTTTAATTTTAATWTAATATGATTGGTGAATATACGTTTAAGATAATAAGCGTATCTATTATTTTCCGTAATAACAGTTTCCCATTATTTGAACATATTTAATTTGGTCTACATTTCTGTACTCTTTATCGATGATTATCAACGCTCATCTGTAACTGAGTTAAAATAGTATAACAATTTTTGTGTGCGCAAACCAGTTATACATTTAATGTAATCGTGTGCGCAAACAAGTTCAGATTTTTCAGGTAAAAATTATAGATTGTGCACAAACAAGTTGCAGTCATATAAAATACATAATTGAAATTTTTTTTTTTWTTTTATTTTGGTTTTTAGGCCTCTTAGTCTTTATCAGAACTATTATAAATTAAAATTAAATTATATTAAAATATGTATATACTTACATTTGAATAAACAATGAATAAATAGAATTGCTTCAGAGAAAAAWAAATCTTTCACTTGTTGTCAACAATTGATTCTCAATCTCTGTAAAAGTAAAATAAATTACTAACAAAATAAATTTTAAAACATTTACCTAATTAAATCATTAATACAAATATTTATAGTCACCATTTATATGTTAAGAAATTAATTACTCATTAAGTATTCTCAAATTTTAAAATTAAATGTTTTTGAATTAACTGTGAAAAATCAAAAATATACAATCATATACAAATCCACACCCTAGTTATTTACGATCAAGATTACTTGTAGATAATAGCATTAATGTAATTTATTATTTCTTTTGAAAAATTTAAGAATACTAACAGTAAAATAAAAATATATTGCACACTTATTTGATGTAATTTACAATATTTTTTTTGCTTATTTATGATTTATACAGCTGTTTTGGTAATTAAGAATTTATTTGCTATTTTTATGGATTTTCTCAAACATTATGTACTATAATAAATATTACTGATATAAATCATATAATTTACAAAATATTTTACCAATTAGTCAATTAATGTTAATTATTTAATAATTTTTATTATTTATTTGTGGTAGATATAACAATGATAATTAATTAAAATCTAAATAAGAATTTCAATCAAAACTACAAAACTGTTCAAATATTATTATTTTATTTAAAAGGGTAAGGTGAAAATAAGTAGAAACTGCCTTATATTTGGATTACTTCTAAATGATTAAATTAAATAATTTAATGTGTAGATTTTATTACAGAATTAATGAAATATTTTTGACTTATTTTTAAGGAATTAATTTTATAAATTAATGATTAGCTTAAAATTGTTTTCTTTACAAAATAGTGTAAATAAATTATAGTAAAACATAAATAGTGAGTAGTTATATAAGTGTACATTACAAAGTAGTTATTTTAAGATTTTTTATTCTGTAAAAATAGCTATATTTTTCTGTTAAACATAAACTATAAACAATATTAATATAAAATAAGTGGTACAATGAACATGAAAAAACGCTATATGGTAACATAACTTTAAAATAGTAGTTAATTAGTAACTAGAATTTTAAGAGGTAATTCTTAAGGCAGTAGATTGAGATTCATATAGGATAAATGTTTACTCGTTTAATAGGGTTCTTTATTTGGATGTTATATGGCATAATCATACTGATCTGAAGATTGTTTTGTAAATAAGTATTTTATTCTTGAAACTATAAATTKTATAATAGGATTGAGGAAATTTTGAAATGGAGATGAGTTTAGTTTCTTGAATTTGTGCTTGGTATAGTTTGATTAACCTGTCTAATATAAACCTAGGTATTTTTTTGATAATTTCAATGGAATTATATAGTTATTTAGTTTATCTGTAGGCCTTTTTTTTTAGGGTTAAGTTTATTGGACAGATTTTTTTATCAATACAAAATTTCCAGTTGTTTTATTAATGTTATGATATAAATTTCAAATTAATAATTAAATCTTTGAAAGGTATAATCTCTTATTGATAAAAGTCGAACTAAAGAGGTACACTATGGCAGGAGCTAAGTCAAAATGAGACATGGTACATAATATTTAGCAACATCATGACTCAGGCTTACATGATGCTTTTCTGATACTACACGATTTATATTATTTCTTAAACACTATGCAACACAATCGTTATTCAGTGGAAAAACATAAATAAAATAACAAAATGTCTGTGCAGTTTCATCGAATTTCTCGTTTTGAAAACGTAAGCGACATGTTGAACAGTTGACAAACAAACACTTAACATGCAGCGACTCACCTTCTTCCTTTGAGACAGCGGTTGTCTTGGGGCTATCCGTGGAAAAAATTGTTTGGAAACCCGATTAAAAAAAACTAGTAAACGGAAAAAAAAACTTTAAAAGTTTGGACAATGGATACAACGATAACATTGTTTGGAAATTTCTAGCCGGGTGAGAAGGCCGCCAAATTGATAACATTCGACGAGCGCCAGCTGACGTATTCAATCGGAGTGCCGATGCGAAACGTTTTTCACGCACCGTTACGACATGAATTTTAGTCACAACTAAAATATATTGCACGGCTGCGCTGTACCATTGATTAAGTAAACTAAACTTTTCAATGGATGTACATAAACTATAATATACTCAGTGACGTCCTAATTCCAAAATTTTACTCATGAAATCAGACACCTCCACGCATAATTTTGACACCCACCAATTTCTTTTAATTACCTTACGTAATATTATCGACTTTTAGTTCACAATTAACGGTTACCTATGTCTAATACAATTATTATAATTCATAATATACCTACTTAGAACACAAAAATGACCTCCCCCCCACTAAAATCATCTATGACAATTATTATTTGTAAATGTATACTTTTCTACTATATACAT